ATGCTTGGCAAGGTTTGCATTCCACCGTACTTTGCCCCTTCTACACGACGGTGAAATACTCATTCCTAAATGCATATACATACATTTATAAAATTAATAAGGAAAGATCTTGGTATATATATATATATATATATGGTATATACACCAAGATATATATATTTATATACCAGTATACCAAGGAGGTCCTTTTATTATGACTGTAGCGACATTTCCACTAAATCTAGATGTCTTCTACGACCTGTAATGAAAAAAGCCATGTGGAAGAAAACAACATATTCCTTTTTGCTGAAGCGCTCGCAAACCCACTATATGTTGCAGCAGGAAGAGTAACAAGAAAGCAAATATGAAGAGAAGCATACACACCTGTTTTGCAGCAGAAATCAGCTTTTCTTCGGATGAATGACCCTGTACAAGAGCGTTAGCTGCCTCACAGAGCTGATGGACAGCTGCTGCAACAAGACGCGCAGCTGAGATAAGTCCTTCCGACCACTGATAATCATCCGTTGCAACCGCCGGCCGCGCTTCCAGCCTACAATTGCAAAAGCGAAATACTTGAATTGGAAGCGTCCACATTTCACTTAATCATCGCAACCGCATTAATTTTAACACTGTTTTTGGCTATTCGAACACCTTTATTAGATTGTTTTTTGCGAATTTTTACTAAATCGCCCACCAAGCTGGTTCTTCTGGATCATCCATGTGGACTTACATAATTTTTTGAAAAAGGGAACCGGTTTTCCCTAGACAAAGCCAGAAATTAATTAGACTGCCAAAATTTTGAAAAAATAAAGAAAAAAGAATTGCGGGACTGAGACGAATAATTGGACTTGGATTTTGAATTAGGCTAGGAAAACAGCAAAATATATTTTAACTAATATGGTTAAGCAAAGTGCCACCAAAGCGCAACGACTTTCCTTCAGTGTTGCCCAGTTCTACATGTTGAGCATTACTCACGTGAAACGCTGAAGTACCACTTTTTTAATTCATGACGAAGATAGTTAGTCGATCCGTGCACAAGACTGATCAGCATGCTTGCCAACAACCAGTTTAAAATCTCATTAATGTGTGCCAAGCAGCAAAAAAGCAGCCACTAAATCGTTCATGTTCGCTCAATGCTACAAACCTGTGCCTAGAACCAACTGCAGGAGGAAGCTGGCGAAAGCGCAAATATTAGCAATGTATAAAAGACTAATAAGGCAGCTGAGTGCTGTTCCACTAAGCTCTTACACAGGCAGCTAAAGCAGAATGTTTCATCCGGACCTCTGTAACGAAATTCGTACGAATCAAAAAAGACCATAAGACAAAGCCAGCCTCTATTGTTCAGATTTCATAGACCATCGAAGTTCTAAACATCATTTGAAGAGCGCCATAAGCGAATAATAGATTACATAAACTAAACCCGACTTCGTTTTACAGTAGAAAAGGCTTACTTACCTTCCCTGAGCTACCAGTTCGCGCTGGGCTGCTGATGCTGCTTTGACAAGTGTCTGTACAG